ACACTGCGTACCTGCAGCCCAGCAGGTTTGCTTTTAGAGGAGGGGTTAAGGAATTCGATCTATGTGGCTCCGTCTATGCCAGGGGTGGCCAAATTTGCTTAGCGTAACAGCCAAACAGAATAAATGTACGATGTCTGAGAGCTGCAAGACATGAAGAAATATCACACACACGTTTTTATTGAAAAATACAGGCAAATTTGCTTTTTATTCACATTAAATTAGACTGTGTGAAAGAGCCACATGCGGCTCCCAAACTGCAGGTTGGCCACCCCCGGTCTATACCATCCTGCAGTCCAATTCAAAGCTCGCCTGTGATATTACCACCTGTCAGTCTGACTGGAAAGAAATCCAGGTGTAACAGGGACTCATGCAGCGTCGAAGCCTCCGTAGAGAGGCTCTTTAGAGCCTCCTTAGAGAGCCAGTTTGGTGTCGTGGTTAAGTGTGGGGCTCTAATCTGGGAGAACCGGGTTTGATTCCCCACTCCTCCACTTGCACCTGCTGGATGACCTTGGGCAAGCCGTAGTTCTGATAAGGGCTGTCCTTGAAAAAAGAGCAGTTTCTGTCAAGAGCTCTCTCAGCCCCACCTGCCTCTCAGAGTGTCTGTTGTGGGGAGGGGAAGGGAAAGGAGTTTGTAAGACGCTCTGAGACTCCTTTTGGGTAGTGAAGGGTGGGGTATAAACCCAATCTTCTCCTCCTCCTCCTCCTCCTCCTCTTCTTCTGCTTCTTCTTCTTCGCTACTGTTCTCACCGCAATCCCATTTTCTTTCTGCTCCCTTCAGCATACCGAGGCTGACTTCAAGGTTCGACTGAAAGCGCGTCCGGAACTCGAAGAGCTCCTCTCCCAGATGCGCTGAGGCCGTCGCTTCCCGCTGCAAACGTCAACTCTGAACTCTCTGTCCAGCTCCTGCAGGCTCCTTCCACAGCCACTCTGGGAAAACGAACCTGCGTGCAAACTGTGTTCGCCAGAGAAGTTCCCCGTACTGTGAGGAGTCTTGTTTTAACAGTAACGAATTCAGCATTCTGCTGCAAAATACAGTCACGTGAGCCTGTGCCCGAGAGAGAGGGTGCTGCTTGCGTAGATGGGCGTTGCCAGCTAACACATCTCTCCCAAGTATTGGCCTCTCTCGACAACCTGATTTTTAAAAGAAATAAAAACGGCATCGTTTAAGTCTGTTAATTTAGTTGTTGTTGTTCAGTCGCACAGTCGAGTCCGAGTCTTCGCGACCCCATGGACGAGATCACGCCAGGCCTTCCGGTCTTCCGCCGTCCTCTGAAGTTTGCTCAACTTCATGTTTGTTGCATCTATGACACTGTCTAACCATCTCATCCTTTGCCATCCCCGTCTTCTTTGACCTTCAATCTTTCCCAGCATCAGGGTCTTCTCCAGTGAGGGCTCCCTTCTCATTTGGTGGCCAAAGTATTCGAGCTTATCTAATTCCCTCTTGAAGTCGTCCATGCTTGTAGCCGCCACGCCCTCCTGTGGCAGTGAATTCCATGTGTGAATCACTCTTTGGGTGAAGAAGGACTTACTTTTATCCGTTCTACCCCGACCGCTCGGCAATTTCATGGAGTGCCCACGAGTTCTTGTCTTGTGAGAAAGGGAGAAAAGGACTTCTTTCTTGACCTGCTCTATCCCACGCATCATCTTATAAACCTCGATCAGGTCACCCCTCAGCCGTCGTTTCTCCAGACGTCTCTTGCCTTGAAAACCCTACAGGGTCACTATAAACCGGCTGCGACTTGATGGCACTTTCTCACCAGCACCACCAAATTAAATGACAACACAATTCAACATGTCGTGCTTGAATCCGTTTTTGGGAAATTCTAACATAATCTTGGTGTTTGTGTACCGGATGCAAGGTCCATCGCAAGTGCGGGGGGGGGGGGCTCCTTGTCTTCAAGTGTGACAAAAAGAAAGCTGACCACAAACCGGAACAAGCGACTGAACTTGCAGAAGAAGGAAAGCTTTGCATTCCAAGCAGGGTAAAAGGTAAAGGTAAAGGTTCCCTTGCTCGAAAGCCAGTCGAGTCCGACTCTAGGGTTGCGGTGCTCAACTCCGTTTCAAAGCCAAAGAGCCAGCGCTGTCCATGGTCATGTGGCCGGCATGACTAAACACCAAGGCGCACGGAACACTGTTACCTTCCCACCAAAGTGGTACCTATTTATCTACTTGCAATTTCTTGCTTTCGAACTGCTAGGTTGGCAGGAGCTGGAACTAGAGTCGGGAGCTCCCTCTGTCATGCGGCAACTCGGGTCTCGAACTGCTGAACTACCAACCTTCCACAGCCTGCAGTTCAGCGTCTTAACCACTTGAGCCACCACAGCTCCTTTCCAAGCAGGGAGTACCAAGCAAATGCTTGTAGCTCTTTCTGCAATTGGCCTGCCAGACTCTTTCAGAATTGCTCCTCATATGAGACTGGATTTATACCCTGCCCTTCACTACCAGTTTGGTGTAGAGGTTAAGTGCGCAGACTCTAATCTGGGAGAACCGAGTTTGATTCACCACTCCTCCACTCGCACCTGGCTGGATGACCTTGGGAAAGCCGTAGTTCTGATAAGAGCTGTTCTTGAAAGAGCAGTTTCTGTCAGAGCTCTCTCAGCCCCACCTACCTCACAGGGTGTCTGTTGTGGGAGGGGAAGGGAAAGGAGTTTCTAAGCCGCTCTGAGACACCTTTGGGTAGTGAAGGGCGGGGTATAAATCCAAACTCTTCTCTTCTTCTTCATTCTTTCACATCTCCCACTGCCTGGTCCTTTCAACTGGAGTTATTGGGGATTGAACCTGGGACCTTCTGCATGCCAAGCAGATGCTCTGCCACTGAGCCACAGCCCCTCTCTTTGGCTCTCCGGGGTCTCAGGCGGAGGTCTTTCACATCACCCACTGCCTGGTCCTTTTAACTGGAATTATTGGGGATTGAACCTGGGATCTTCTGCATGCCAAGCAGAGGCTCTTCCACTGAGCTACAGCCCCTCTCTTTGGCTCTCCGGGGTCTCAGGTGGAGGTCTTTCACATCACCCACTGCCTGGTCCTTTCAACTGGAGTTATTGGGGATTGAACCTGGGCCCTTCTGCATGCCAAGCAGAGGCTCTTCCACTGAGCCACAGCCCCTCTCTTTGGCTTTCCGGGGTCTCAGGCGGAGGTCTTTCACATCTCCCACTGCCTGGTCCTTTCAACTGGAGTTATTGGGGATTGAACCTGGGCCCTTCTGCATGCCAAGCAGAGGCTCTTCCACTGAGCCACAGCCCCTCTCTTTGGCTCTCCGGGGTCTCAGGCGGAGGTCTTTCACATCACCCACTGCCTGGTCCTTTCAACTGGAATTATTGGGGCTTGAACCTGGGACCTTCTGCATGCCAAGCAGAGGCTCTTCCACTGAGCCATAGCCCCTTCCCTCACGAAGCTGAATCAGATCATTGGCCGATCAAGGTTGCTAACTTGCTATCATCTATTTTGATTGGCAGCATCTCTTCAGGGTGTCAGGCTGAGGGCTTTGATATCACCTACTGCCTAATCCTTTTAGCCAAAGATGCTGGGGATTGAACCTGGGACCTTCTGCATGCAAATCAGATACTCTAAGTGAATATGTGAAGCTGCCTTATACTGAATCAGACCCTCAGTCCATCAAGGTCTGTCTTGTCTATTCAGACTGGTGGCAGCTCTCACCAGTTCTCAGGTGGAGGTCTTTCACATCACCTCCTGCCTGGTCGGTTCAACTGGAGATGCCGGGGATTGAACCTGGGACCTTCTGCATGCCAAGCAGAGGCTCAGTCACTAAGCCACAGCCCTCCTCCATAGGTCTCCAGGGTCTCAGGCTGAGGTCTATCCCATCACTTACTTCCTGGTCCTTTTAACTGGAGATGCCGGGGACTGAACCTGGGGGTGTCAGTTTCAGCAGCAAGTAAATCACAAATGTTTCCAAGGAAGCGTTACGCTTCATTAGATTACAAAACTGATACCTGCGGGGGAGGGCGGGGTATAAATTTAACAAATAAATAAATAAATAAATATCCACAGGATTATTGTTAGGAATAACCAAGGGGCGGAAACATCCCTACATATAGCAGGATGAGGCAAATGGCTAAGCAAATGAAGCTCGAGCGCGCTGGGGAATTCTCCCGGCGAGAGGATACGTCATAAGCGGGAGAGTCTCAGTGCCTCATGAGGGCCGAAAGATTCACACGAGCGGTGGAACGCAAGCCCTCCCCCCTTCACAAGGCCAGACAGATAACGCCGTCTGGCAGCACTGGTTCTCACGGCCTCCCTATCGCTGTTTACGGCAAGTGGCAGAGCAGCGAGCAAGCCAGGATCAGAGAAGGGAACAAGGAAAACATGGCAGCTAGCTGACATCGGGACCTTCTGCATGCAAATCCGATACTCTACTGGTGAGCCAGGGCCCCTCCGAAATATGTAAGTGAACACGTGAAGCTGACTTATACTGAATCAGACCCTTGATCCATCAAGGTCTGTCTTGTCTATTCAGACTGGCGGCAGTTGTGGGAATATGAACAACTCCTATGAGGCATGCCCAGGACGAGTTCAAGTTCTCACCGGGAGATTGGCAAGCAGGGCACAAAGTCTGCTGAGTCTGCATGAGTCTGCTGAGAAAATAAACTTGGCTACAGTGGGCAAGATAGGAGAGTTTCAGCGTAAAGAACATTCTGTTAAGAGCACAGTGTGATTTAGTTAGAGGCTTCTTCTATTTTGTAACGTTTTCACTGTACCCTGCGTGAGCCTGCTTGATTCTAATAAAGCGCTGCTGACATCCAGTTCGAGAGATCAGGTCAGAGGGACAGAGAGAACAGTTGGATCAGTTGGGACAGAGAGAGAACTGAGCTTGGTCAGAGAGCTTGTACAAGATCTCTGTGTGTTGTGTCATTATTGTGTCGTTATTGAACCGTCGAACCTACAGGCAGCTCTCCAGGCATCTCAGGTGGAGGTCTTTCACATCACCTACTGCCCGGTCGTTTTGTTAACGAGATGCCAGGAATTGAACCTGGGACCTTCTGCATGCCAAGCAGATGCTCGGCCACTGAGCTGTGCACCCCACCCCACCCCGGTCCCTAGAATCTGCCAAAACTTTAGAAGCACTGAAACCTTAGTATCTACATTACTGACGTTGGCAAAAATAACAATTGCTCAAAGATGGAAACAAAGGAATATCGCTACAATAACATGCTGGCAGAAGAAAATCTGGGAATGCTTAGTTATGGGGGCACCTCATACGACTCATTGGCTGTGCAATCGGAAAAATACCAAAAGTGCTTCCAGGCAGTAGGGTTCCCTATCGTTAGCTATTTAGAGAGTAATGGGACACTCCCGAATAACCCAGTATTCAGGAATTTACTCTTCTTCTGATAACTCTGTTACCCTACCACAGTGGTGGCGAACCTATGGCACGGGTGCCAGAGGTGGCATTCAGAGCCCTCTCTGTGGGCACGCGTGCCATCGCCCAAGCCAGGCCCAGACCATCATTAAAGTGCCGGATTCTCTGCCAAATAATTTTAAGTAAATGAAAGCATTTGGGATTGCTTTCCTTACTTTGTTTGGATCGTCTTAAGTTAATGTATGAGTGGTTTTTTCTAAAGTAAAACCTCAGTATTCAGGTTAAATTGCCGTGGTGGCACTTTGCGATCAATAAGTGGGTTTTGGGTCACAGTTTGGGAACTCGGTCTCTAAAAGGTTTGCCATCACTGCCCTACCAGGTCTCAAAGGCCATAAATGTTTAAGTGGTAGACTGGTGTGATGTACTACTTGAGTCATTCGCTATTTTGCTTAATCACAGTTTTGATCTCATGGCTTCCATTCTTCCAAATGTTGAATTTTGTTGTAACTGTTGGAAAACTAATGAAAAATACATTAAAAAAAAGAAGAGGAGGAGATTGGATTCATACCCCGCCCTTCACTCAGTCTCAGAGTGGCTTACAATCTCCTTCCCCTTCCCCTTCCCACAACAGACACCTGTTGAGGAAGGCAGGCAGGGCTGAGAGAACTCCTCTTGAAAATACAGCTCTGAGAGAACTTGTGACTGACCCAAGGTCACTCCAGCAGCTGCAATTAGAGGAGTGGGGAATCAAACCCGGTTCTCCCAGATTAGAGTCCGCGCACTTAACCACCACACCAAACAAGAGGATACTAAGTCTCCATTTATTTTTGGGAGAAAACGGGATTCACGCTTCTGGTTTTATAAAAACGACTCAGTGCCCTGAGTACCTGGCCGCTGCAATTGTGCCCTCCACTGTCCACAGGGGGAGAGCAGGCCCCTGCTTGGAAACGGGAAGCGGTGCCCCTAGAAGACGGCTTCCGCCCACTTTGGATTTATTTCGTCTGGAGCCGTGGAAGGTGGCAGCCCGGCTTGTTCTCCCGTCAGCTCGTGGCCTGGCGTAGCCTCCGCAGCTCTTCCGCCCGCTGCTTCTGGTGTTTGCTCATGCAGTCCTTGAAGCTCTGCACCTGCTCCTGGCACTTGCGCCAGTCCTGGTGCTCGGCCATGCACTCCTGCACGGCGTAATGGAAAGCCGCGCAGCCGGTGCGGGAGATCATCTGGTCGAGGGGATCCTCTTCCTCCTCTGCGCTGGGTTTCCGGCTCCAGTCGTGACCCGAGGGACGGGCGCTGGTCATTGTCCTGGGAGGAAAGAAGGGAGGAAAACGGAGCATGTTGAACAGGAAGGGGAGGAGGAGATTGGATTTACACCCTGCCCTTCACTTGGGAGTGTCAAGAGTGGCTTACCGTCTCCTTTCCCTCTCCCTCCCCTCCCCACAACAGACACCCTGTGAGGTCGGTGGGGCTGAGAGCAATTTTGAGGACTGCTCATTCCCAAGGTCTGTTTTATTTATTTTGTAAGAAAATAATCCATGTATCAAACATTAGTGAAGGTCGTATAGTCAAGGTAGTAGGTTACAGGGTACTTTTAAAATAGCAAAATATAGACTTCAATAGACACAGTCTCATATTAACTCCTAACTTATAAAATAACGATCCTAAGAATACGAACCATAACTAACAGTATAAATTTAGTAAGTGAATAGGCATCAAATATCAAGGTCGTGTTGAGATGCAGGCAACTAATATTAGCCATATGTCAAAAGCTTAAACCTGATTTCAGTGTTATTCCCTAGGTCCAGTGTAGAGTTACCCATTTTGTCTATTACAGGAAACCAAATATCTAAAGGATTTGCTAGCTCTCCGGTGTCACTTTCTTTGCTGGTAATCACATGTATTTTCTCAAGCAAGAAAAAAATCCAATAACTCGAGGACTGTTCATGAGAGAACAGGCCTGAGCAGTGTTCCCTCTACGCTGAGTGAGTGTGAGCTAGCTCACATTTTTTTAGCCTCCAGCTCACAGATTTTTGTCATAGCTCAGGAAGGATGGCTCCAAAGTAATTTATGCAGTAGCCAAATCGCTCGCTCACCACTTTAATGCCAGTGGTGGCATTTGGGGATCCAATGTAGGATTTTTGCTCACAAGACTCCACAGCTTAGAGGGAACATTGGGCCTGAGAGAACTTGTGACTGACCCAAGGCCACACCAGCAGCTGCATGTGGAGGACCGGGGATTCGAACCCGGCCCTCCCAGATTGGAGTCCGCGCTCTTAACCACTACACCAAACTGGAGATTCCATTGGGGAGCCGGCTTGGTCTGAAGCAGCCGAGCAAAGTTCGAGTCCCTCCAGGAGGGGGCCCCTTTAAGAGTTTAATTCTGGGTATAAACTCCCGTGTCCGGGGACACGCCTCCAGTTCATACGACAAGAAGGAGGACAAGAATAAGGCCATAATTCAGATAAGGAGGAGGGGAGAGAGCAGCCTTGCGCACGCTCGGGAAACGCCCCC